TGTAAACGGGAGCCAAACCCTCCCCTAAACTTGGACAGTGGTGTAACAGTATAACATAAGAACAAATAATAAAAAGCAGTTGAAAAAGGCTTAATTCATCAGATGGATACAAGTCACATTAAAGGAACCAGGGCGGGATTGTGATAAAGACAGTTGAAACATATCTGTTGTCATCAGTGAAAAAGATATTCTATAGCGGTCAACCAGCAATAAGTTATCACTAAAATCATCAAACGAAACCAGATGCTCATTTCAATAAAAACTGTACCTTCAGCGAAGTTCGAGGATAAACTATTTGTAAGTCAAAAACAAAGGATTAAGTTCACGAAGGGTTAAAATTGGTCCTAAGATTTTAATGGGTTTTTTTATCAGGCCATAATACTATAAATTTCACATAGAAATAGTTAAGATATTACCATTAATACAAAATAACTTCATTTTGGCACATCATATTAAAAATGACGAAGTATTGACTCTTTAAGTACGCATTATTTGCTTTGTAACGTCAGTTTTGGTCCAATTTTCAATAATTCTTAATAGTTTTTAGCATAATTTACTTTGGCCGCAACCCATTATGAAGAAAGTGTATGTGTCTGGGGATTCAATATCATCATTGGCAACTCTTGGTTACAGAACATTTTGGATCCTAGGTTGCAGCCAATGGTTTCCTCAAGCTTTTAGGTCCGAAAAATGCATGAAATCATCGTATTTTGACAGTATATATAAAAAGTGCGGATTTTAAAGCCAAACATGCACTCTTATGAAGAGATTTATTTTAACAAAGAAGTAAGGCTTTTGAAATACATCCATTTAAGAACCAAATTATAGCCATTTTGAAATTTTATAATCAAGTTGAAATTCAAGGCCATATTTGGCTTATGTGAACCGTTCATGAGTTTAACCGAAAAAGACCGACAGTAGACCAAAGATCAGATAAAAAGAGTCAGACTCGTAAGGAATGAGATATACCGCCAATTTGTATATTTTCTCTTTGATCTCAAGTTCATCCGCGTCAATTTATCAATGAAATGCACGCGCGACTTCATTCATACAACCGTACAACTATCCTAACGTTTTGTACGCGTAAAAGTAGTTTTACTTATTACTTCATTTTACTTCATATTCTCTACCAAAAGATGTACAGTTAAGACAAATTGCCGCTAAAGGTGTAATACCACCAAATCATTGAACGTCACATCCGGTTGCATAAGAAAAAGGGTCGAAAAATTTTTATATGGATAGTTCATTGAGCTTGAATACTTCAATTACTCATTTATTATCACATTTCTTTCATAAATGAGTGAAAATTACCGCAGTTTTTTTTTTATTTATTGGCCTAAAAAGTTGACATTTTGAGGATATGAGAGGTATAAATTGACCAAAAGGGACCTTATAATGAATACAAAGAGGTCCATTAGTGGTATTTATCATCTATAAATTTCACATAGAAATAGTTAAGATATTACTATTAATACAAAATAACTTCATTTTGGCACATCATATTAAAAATGACGAAGTATTGACTCTTTAAGTACGCATTATTTGCTTTGTAACGTCAGTTTTGGTCCAATTTTCAATAATTCTTAATAGTTTTTAGCATAATTTACTTTGGCCGCAACCCATTATGAAGAAAGTGTATGTGTCTGGGGATTCAATATCAACATTGGCAACTCTTGGTTACAGAACATTTTGGATCCTAGGTTGCAGCCAATGGTTTCCTCAAGCTTTTAGGTCCGAAAAATGCATGAAATCATCGTATTTTGACAGTATATATAAAAAGTGCGGATTTTAAAGCCAAACATGCACTCTTATGAAGATTTTTTTTAACAAAGAAGTAAGGCTTTTGAAATACATCCATTTAAGAACCAAATTATAGCCATTTCGAAATTTTATAATCAAGTTGACATTCAAGGCCATATTTGGCTTATGTGAACCGTTCATGAGTTTAACCGAAAAAGACCGACAGTAGACCAAAGATCAGATAAAAAGTCAGAGACTCGTAAGGAATGAGATATACCGGCAATTTGTATATTTTCTCTTTGATCTCAAGTTCATCCGCGTCAATTCATCAATGAAATGCACGCGCGACTTCATTCATACAACCGTACAACTATCCTAACGTTTTGTACGCGTAAAAGTAGTTTTACTTATTACTTCATTTTACTTCATATTCTCTACCAAAAGATGTACAGTTAAGACAAATTGCCGCTAAAGGTGTAATACCACCAAATCATTGAACGTCACATCCGGTTGCATAAGAAAAAGGGTCGAAAAACTTTTATATGGATAGTTCATTGAGCTTGAATACTTCAATTACTCATTTATTATCACATTTCTTTCATAAATGAGTGAAAATTACCGCAGTTTTTTTTTTTTATTTATTGGCCTAAAAAGTTGACATTTTGAGGATATGAGAGGTATAAATTGACCAAAAGGGACCTTATAATGAAGACAAAGAGGTCCATTAGTGGTATGTATCATCCTAGAGTCATTTTTTGTATCATAATTAACTGTCTGCAGGCAGATGAGAAAAATATTTGATCATTTATTGGTCCACACTATATTATATCATGCTCGTAACGCTGTAAATGTCGTCTTACATTATACTAGATTTTTCTCAACCTATTGAACTGATTATGATAAAACTTGACAGTAATGCTTGAAATAACCAGTATTACAAAGGAAAAAAAATACATTCAGTTTATTCAACAAAAAAGTCTTCTCATAAGAATAATTGCATTTTTTTTTAGTACTGATTTCATCAGTTCGAATATCAGTTCGCCCTAGCGGGCTCGCTTCATTTTCTTGCTGATAAAGTCAGTATCAAAAACAAAAATGCCATTATTTTATATATATATTGCATAATTTGAAATGATTTCCACTGTTTTATCAGCATGTGTATATTAAAAAATATAAAAGATAATGGATTACAGAGCTGTAATGTTTGTCTTGGTGTAAATTGTTGATGTTGTTGGTGCCAATCTGATGATTCAATCCATTTCCAATTGATATATAATATTAGTTCTTATGCGTGGCTGTTTCACCACTGTCCCAGGTTAGAGGAGGGTTAATGGTCCACCTATTATAAATGTGCCTGTCTCAAGTAAGGTGCCTGCTATTCATTGGTTGTCGTTGTTTGCTGTCTGTCATATATGTACTTCAGTTATTGTTTTGTAAACAGGTCGTTGTATTTTTAAATTTTAATTATTTCACTTTTTGTTTTGTGACCTTGTACAGTTGATTATCCGGTGCCGGTTTTGCTCATTGTTGAAGCTAGTACGGTGTCCTTAAATGTGTAAATTTACGTCGTATTAAACTCTAATGCAACGTCTCTCCATGTTATATAGTTGTGGATTTACATAATTTATACTTCATTTGCAATTTTATCGATACAAAATATCAAATGACTAATACATGAAGTAGTCTGACGCATGTTGCATGATTCGGTTATATATATTGCCAATTATGGTAGGAGGAACCAGTACATTTCATAACTTAAATGGGCCGGTTTAGTTAGGTCATTTTCAGTATCACAAGCCTGTCAATATTGAGTTGAGTATAGGTATGTTCGACTCTGATTTTGGATAGCCAATGTTTCCCCCGAATTTCGATGGTTCTATCCAGACATTCAGACTTCTATGTCGTGAAAGATGACTGAGAGAGGCGTTGAATATTAATAATGAATCAATCATAAATTAAAGAACTGTGACAAATCCCGTTTTAGTTTATTATGTCAATACAAGAATCGAGTGGCATTCTACAAGCAATATTTAAACAGATCTTTGACTTTTACACTAAAAACTAACACCATTTTTTTTCATAAAGAGTTCACAATGACCTACGTTGCTAACGATAAGTTAAACAATTCACAGTTTATTTAGATATTTCTTGAAGTAATTTTCCAAGTCTATATATTGTGTTTCGTAAGGAAAAATCCATAATGATCATGTAAAAATCATTTTAAGTTCTAACTTGTGAGTAAAATTCACTTTATTTCTATAATCTTGTACCAATGAGTACCATATGATAAAAAGGGCACTAGCTACGAGATATGGAAAAAAATAAAATATGATTGTGTTTGGTTCAACCATTAATAAAAGTGAAATAATGAAATAATAATTCGTTTTTAGCAGCCAATTTGGTTCAATTTTGTCAAAACGAACAAAGAAACATCGCTGATGAATTATTCATTTGCAAGTGAATAATTCGACCTCATTGAATCCGTATTCATCTGACCTTCAATTTAAACCATTAGCTAGAGATTGGTTATGCATGAATTAGTCGGGTTCAGCCATTTAAAAGAAAAGAATGTCAACATTGAAAGTGAAACAAAGTTGAACAATTTCATTGACTGACTCGATCCACAAAAAAACATTCTTATACAGGTAAAAACGATAATTAACTTATGTTTTTAACCTAAAACATTACTTTTTTAGAAACCCTTCATTTATGACACTTTTTCATCGTTAATCGTGCTAATAACCGGACCATACGCGTATGGTTGGACCATATGAGTACAAACGCACATGGTCATGACCATACGCGTATGGTCCAAATACCCGTGTATGGTCCGGAAGATTGTTACGTAATTCATTTGTAGTTGAACAACTTCTCTGATCTTAATAACAATCTAAATTTAAAAACAATACAATGAGAACAGTATCTTAGATATAAGAAGATGTGGTATGAGTGCCAATGAGACAACTCTCCATCCAAGTCACAATATGTTAAAGTAAACCATTAAAGGTCAAAGTACGGTCATGCCTTACTAATTTCTTACAGAAGACAATGATATAGAAAATATTAATAGTTCAAAAGAGAACATAACTATTTTTTTTTATTTAGGGTATTCTGAAGAAAGAATATAAATAAACTTTGATGATTACCTGTTTTAAATAGTTGTTGTACGTCTGTCTGAATGTCAGATTCGTGAGAGTTTTATTTTGTTTTATTGTTTATATGTTAACGCATACACAAAAATATTCATCATTTATACTCACAATGCACGACAATTCTGACACTCGAAGATTCCAGAGAGCCAACATCATTTGAAGCAATACAGGTATAATTTCCTGCCTGTCTTTTGTGTATGTTCTGTAGAATCAGAATTGAGGTAATACCTTCAGGAAGGTCAGGTCCAGTCCATGTCATTTTACAGTCCGGTTTGCATTCAGCTGTACAATTAAAAGGATTGACACGTTCTGTTTCCTCTTTTACAATGTACGGGTCAGTATTAGGTAATATGTTAACTTTCATTGGACCATCTGAAATAATGAGTTATACTTTATATGTAAACATACTGATGTCAGCTATCTATATAGGACTAGACATTATTTGAAAGCAAGTAACTGTTAAAACGGCACTATTCGACCAGCGAAAGCTATAATTTTATATAGCCTAGGTTGTCGAGTGGTCTACATAGCTAGGGCGCTGCACACGGTGCAGGCGGTGTTGCCACGATGTCACAGACGAAAGGGTTCTTATCCCGCTTTGGGAAGATCAAAAACGCAAATTTGATAATCTTATATTGTTCGGCTAAATTTGAGACGAATTGTATATATATATTTTTGGTCTTTTGGAAAATGTTGTTTGTGCTGTATTTAGACCCCTCTAACAAGAAATTTATTTTGCATGCACACGTATAAAAATTGCGGTTTTTACCCAACGCAATCATAGGTTTGAACGTTGTTTTCAATTTAGACTTGTTTATATTTTTTCGTTTGGGCTTGTATTATATTTGCCTTCGGGTTTATATGATCCGTTCATCCTATTTTGACTCCTCAAAATTCAATAGTCTATCCTTATGCGGTAAATTGTATGGCTTTCCAAATACTGTTTCGATTCCTAACATCACTGAAGAGACATTAATTGTCGAAATCCGGATATGGTGTACAAAAACCCTTGCACCTTTTGTTTGCGGTATATCATCTTTTCCGCAAGTTTATTGTTTTCTGTTTAGTATTAAATTTATAATTTAGGTCCATTTATTACATCGGTGATCCGTTTATGTGGCAATCGCCAATGGCAGTCAGCAGGGTTTAAGAACATTTGTTGTTCGACCTGTTAGTCAAATGCGTTTTGTTAAAATATTCTTTTTCACTTTTTTGGTCTTTTGGAAAATGTTGTTTGTGCTGTATTTAGACCCCTCTAACAAGAAATTTGTTTTGCATGCACACGTATAAAAATTGCGGTTTTTATCCAACGCAATCATAGGTTTGAACATTGTTTTCAATTTAGACTTGTGTATATTTTTTCGTTTGGGCTTGTATTATATTTGCCTTCGGGTTTATATGATCCGTTCATCCTATTTTGACTCCTCAAAATTCAAGAGTCTATCCTAAATTGAGGTAAATTGTATGGCTTTCCAAATACTGTTTCGATTCCTAACATCACTGAAGTGACATTAATTGTCGAAATCCGGATATGGTGTACAAAAACCTTTGCACCTTTTGTTTGCGGTATATCATCTTTTCCGCAAGTTTATTGTTTTCTGTTTAGTATTAAATTTATAATTAAGGTCCATTTATTACATCGGTGATCCGTTTATTTGGCAATCGCCAATGGCAGTCAGCAGGGTTTAAGAACATTTGTTGTTCGACCTGTTAGTCAAATGCGTTTTGTTAAAATATACTTTTTCACTTTTTTGGTCTTTTGGAAAATGTTGTTTGTGCTGTATTTAGACCCCTCTAACAAGAAATTTGTTTTGCATGCACACGTATAAAAATTGCGGTTTTTATCCAACGCAATCATAGGTTTGAACGTTGTTTTCAATTTAGACTTGTTTATATATATATATATATATATATATATATATATATATATAAAATGTCTAGAAAATAAACCTAACAATGTTAGAGTAGATCAAACTATATATATATATATATATATATATAAGTCTGAGAGTTGAAAGAACAAATAGTTGCTTTCTCAAATTTGCAGATTTAACATTGTTGTGCTGATATTTAGAGTAATTATGAATATAATATTTGTTTTCAGCAATGTATCACCTTCACTGGTGATCCAATAGATGAATCTGTCGTAGAGTTGTCACTTGTTTAAACGTACTCAAATAATCAAACAATTATTTCTGTGACTGTATCTTACGATCCTTAACGATAGATAATTTAGCTAATCTGCAATCAATTCCATCTGCATGCCTAATATATTATGTATTGTGTTACAACTCTAGATTCTAATGACGAGGAAAGGTAACACTAGGCCACCGAAAGCTGAATTTTTTTATTTCAGCCTAGGTGGCCGAGTGGTCTAAAGTGCTGGACACAGTGCAGGCGGTGTTGTCTCGATATCCCAATAAGCATGAGTTCGAATCCTGGCGAGGGAAGACCAAAAATTTGCTTCCGCAAATTTGCAGATTACAGACCTTCTAAAATTCAAACTGACCATTTTTCCGTGCGTTCATCGTGTATCGTGCGTGTTGCGTGCGTGTATCGTGCGTGTACCAATCGTGCGCTCATCATTCATCATTCCGTGTGTTTTCCGTGTAATGTGCGTGCATAGTTCATTCATTCTTAACCGTGTATCGTGCGCTCATCAATCATTCATTCTTAACCGTGTATCGTGCGTTCATCAATTGTGTGTAACCGTGTAACGTGCATTCGTCAATCGTTCATCTCTAATCGTGTAACGTTCATTCATTGTGGTTTTTATATGATAGTCGGTTATAGAGCTCATCAAAGCTTATATTTTATCTGTTATAGTGCATATATGTTCCGACTTTAAATAAAATTTACATTTTCACTTACTTTCTTGTGAACTCTTAATTAACTTCATCGTACATAACGTTCATACAGATTCATGACTTTTTGTGTAAAATTTATTTATCGTCTGTAAATATTTCGTGTTTATTTAGTGAGTCTTGGCTGGGGCTGACACATTTTAATATAATGATACATGTTCTACGTACAAACAATAACATGATGACATTTCTAAAAATGAACAGTTAAAATTGGAAATTCTATTCAACTGAACGAAATGGGCTAAAAATATACTGTTGAACAACTGTTATTTGTAAAAAAATATTCTGTCAATTAAAAACAGAAGTGCTTTTGCAAGATTTAGATTAGGGGAAGCTCCACTAAATATAGAAACTGGAAGGTATGAAAGAACAGAAGTCCACGAGATGACATGTTTTGTAGCTCTACTATTGAAGATGAACTTCATATAAAAACGAAGATGTGGTATGAATGCCAATGAGACAAATTTCCACAAGAGACCAAATGACACAGAAATTAACAACTATAGGTCACCGTACGGCCTTCAACAATGAGCAAAGCCCATACCGCACAGTCAGCATGTCCTTTTAAAATGCCCATTATATGTAGATTTAAGACAAATCATGATACATTAAGCTAAACATTTTAATGAACATTTAAACCTATTATCAGATAGCGAAAAATTTATATTTTTATTTAATAACGACGATGTTGCTGCTATAGTTGCCAAAAACATCAACAATATTTTATTGAAAAGAAACGGTATTATATTTCACTAGTTCTTAAAGAAACAAATGTTTAATTTTCGTTAAACAACAACAAGGTCAAGACGGCCCCTAGTCTTTATTTGAATAGAATAAACATGTAACACTTTCTCGGATTCACTTTTCATCGTGTTCATGATTGCATATCCGGGACACCGTTTTTAATGTATGTCTAAAAAATTGAAAGCCAAAAAAATAATTTACAATAGTACTTTGTTAACCTTCTAGGATTATTCAAGAATGACGGATTTTTTTTACCATGAGGGTATTTTTTTGTTCCGTTACTGAGGATATGTTTTGTCCTTTACGAATCCATATGACAAATTTGACTCCAATAGGGATAAATTTTGTCTCATAGAAAAAACGGTAGTTATTATCCGATAGATTTTTTTTTCAATTTTATCGGATATAATAGTTATTTTGAAAAATACAAGCAATTCATTGAAGTTTCGTATGCATCTATCAAGATCCAGCAACTTTTGTCTAGTATAAAGGATTGCCTTGGTTTTATAGCTCAAAAAGGTATTATTTGTTTTGCTTACAATGGTTAAATAATGAAATGTTTGTTTCAGAAATTTACACAAGTTTAATTTCGGCTTTGACTCCCGGGGACACTGTCGTTTACAGTAAAAGACGAAAATCTACACATGTACGTCCTTATAAAAAAGAAGATGTGGTATGATTGCCAATGTTTATAATTATATCATAATTATTGTTCTCCCCCAAATAATGAATCTATAATATATGCCACTGGACGTTAAACGATCAACTATTAATTCATCTTTGTTATCTTTTTAGTTTTGTGATAATTTGCATATCAAATACATGAAACAACTGCAGATTTGCACAAAAGTTTGGAGACCGAAATTATTGCACATATAAAACACTCATTCACATCCCTACATTTTGATCCCCTCACAAAACAACACTTTATAAATTTCTAGGAATGCTCAATGCTACATATTTGAAAGCCAAAGAATGTATAGAATAGATAAGAGTGTAGAGCTATATATGACCAATAAAGGACCTACACATTCACAACATTCTTTGTATGTATGTGTCTGTCCAAAGTCAAAAGCACGTAGTTCAGTGGTTCTCGTAACTTCAATTCTGTTATATATTTGGGCTTTTTTTTTTGTGGCAAGATTGCTTTATTATAAAGAAGGCTGTTAGTTTGCTCAGTTGAATTGTTTCATATTTTTTTCATGTCGGGACGGGGCCTTTAATAACCGACTTTACGGTTTCCGTATTTTTTCATTATTGAAGGTCGTATAGATATAACTGCTAACATTCCTCGTGATTTGAACTTTCTTGAATAGTTGTCTCACTAGCATTTATACCACATTTTCTTATTTTTAGGCCAACTTAGTTTGCTGTAGCTGAAACCTACGTTTCTTAAAAAAAAATCTATTATATTAAATTTATATACTGACAATTTAAGAAATGTTTGTCATAGATTGAAATAAGTATACGTCATTTTACTCAAATCATTTATAACACAATGTTCTATACATAAAAACATATAATATTTACCAGTATGTATACCCTGGTGTGACCTCCACATATTCATTGTTACACTACTAAACCACGGGTATATTGTGTGCCCGATACCGATTTAAATAATTGGCTAATTTCGGAAAAAAGGCATGCATGAGTTTTATACATTCCCTGTATGAATTACGTGCTTTTGATTGTGATATTTTATTTATCAAAACATCGTGCATTCGATTAAGTTGTGTAATGGAGTATTTTTGTGAAAGTTCGAAA